TGAGCACGAGTCTTAATTGCTAGATGCATGTGTGTGTGTATTTCAAGATGGAAGGGTCTGTGTGGATAAACGCCTTTGTTGGCTTTGTAAACGTGTGAGATGGGAAAGCACCGATGTACTGACTAAAAATCTATTGTTCACAGGATGTGCGATAGACTTACCTCCACTTGGTACACCCTAGGCAAACGTATACTCATACGGCAAAAAAGTCTATTAACTGGCAGTTGACTTCTCACTTCAAACTACCATCACCCCACTTTATGTCATATTCGACTACTTCCATTGTACTCACCTCACCTTTTTTCTACCTTTGTGTATGTCTCTTTTGCATCTTTGAAACACTCTTCTATTCTTCCCCCCCCCTCTCGCATTTTTTCACTTTGATATTCCTTCCCCTCTGTGAAGCCTGAAGTCAACTAATGATAACCATCAAAACGCCTGCCATTTGATATAAATATTCCTATCCACTGAATTGTCGTAATAGGACGTTTGGGGCATAAAGCATGAATGCAGAAGTGCACAGAGTCGTGTCGTGAATGGGAAATGTAGTTCCGATTTCACGTTACTTACAGAAAAACTGATGTAATCAACATAGCGATGAAAAAGCCCATTTATCTTTTGATCTGCCAGCTGGCTGATCATGTTCTGCCAAATCGTTAAAAAAAACTCGATTAGCAGTAATGAGTTAGCCAGTCTTCTACTACCAATCACCACAATTTAAAAAAAGGCAAACGGATAAACTTCCATACTTTTTTGCCCTAATCTGAACCCAGAGTGGTCTAGAGACATGAGGTGAGCACCTAGATCCTAGCAACAGTAGCATCGACACCTGAGAGTTTTTAACTGTAGTGTTTTAACCAGAAGTCAAATTAAGCATATTTGAGGCGAAGAATATTGCCTTTTAACCATGTGAAGATGACGTTGCCCCAAAACTAATGTAACAACTACCGGGATGGATTTACCGTCTTGCTCTGTCATGCATCACACACCATCTTTTCATACTTCTGTCTTAACTGCCATCTTCATATCAAGGAATATAAGGCGTGAAATCAAACGGCCTTCTTACTCTTCTTCCTTTTGTCCGTTCCTCGCTCTATAAATGCTAACTTAATAAGATAGCCGACAAGAAAGCGCATCAAAATTACGGTTTTTAATAAAAGGAACTAAAATTTGGTGGCTACAACAAAGTGGTCTAAAAAACGATAGTTTTGTAATGGCCCATAGCTCCTATTAGAATCCTGAGGTGGAGGAATGTACGTGAACGGTTCTGCCGTAATTGCCGTGATTGGTTGGTTGCCGGGAGTGGAAGTGTTTGCCAACACCGACCCAAAACCTCTGTGGGTTGCAGTCGACTCTAACGCCTTAGCGCGCTCTTCGGGTACTTGTCTAAATTGAGAGTTGGGTAATTTCTTATTCAAACGTTGGTCCAACGTTCTTCTTAAATCTCCTCTATTTGCACTAACAGTTGGGGACAATTTTGTACCACGCGGTTTTCTTGAAGAGGACGTGGACTGATGCACACGACGGTTAAAGCAGTTAGCAGATCTGTTTCTAGAATGAGTTTTATGGGACTTGTCTATTCTGCGCCGCTGAACTCTTATCGGTTGACGATTTCTCGTGAATGTTTCCCTTCTAGTACGGCTGTGAATACTTTTGGGTGTCCTTCTTCGATCGTCCCGCCATCGACCGCGTTCTCTGTGCCTACATTGGTCTTTAACTCTTGTAATAGCGCGCTGCTTCTTGCGGGAAGGCATTTTTTGCTTAAATGAATGGGAAATAGATTTGTTCTTTTGAGTAATCAAATAAATCCTATTCAAAAAACACTTGATTAGTTCCGATATTTGATTATTAATCTTGACAGATTGATGATCACTGGATTAAGTAGGGATTCGCGCGATTGACAAACGATAAAGCGCATCATTGGTAGAGATTGGACGCGCCTTCAATGTTACTGAAAAATTTTGTCTATGGTATATTATGATGGGGCACTATCTCGAAGTTGAAAGTTTTTATTTATATCAACTGGCAGGCTTTATGATAGTTATCATTAGTCCTTGAGTGGACTTCGGGCTTCACATAAGGGGTGGGGAACATCAAAGTGGGA